CTCCGTCTCATACCTTGCTGCATATGCTCACAAACACGGTCGCTCTGCCTGACCTTTCTGCATAATTTGTTTTCGTCCTCAGGAACCACGTTAACGTCCTTTATTATCATCTGGAAATGGTGCATTCCTAACAACCATTCAACTCTGTACCAATGATACAATACTCGCCAAATGCCATACCGCGATGAACTGAAAAGGGCAACTCGCATGCATAGTTTTCCTAGGTACACCGTGCCGCTGTGTCCAGCCGGGGACTCAAGTACACGTACATGTATACGCTCCACTGAGTTGTTTCCATGTTTACCGACTGCCATTTTGTAGTTCGGAAACTTTATTTTGATATCACCCACCATACCTGCCAATTTCAATGAACAGACTGCTGAGTTACTCAACAAAACTGTGCAAAATACATTCAGAGTACGGGTATAGATACTCAGATGCTTTGATTTATTAGTGTAAGCCGGCTGGATAAAATCATAGACATAAAGAACAATCAAGTTTTGAATATCAAAATTGTTGAAGCCATGGGATTTATTTTAGGAAACATACGTGTAGGCCTTTAAATTGGAGTGCTGTGTCCTTGGCTCTTCAAATACAGGGTTTTTAATTGTGCAGAAAGGTTTTCCAATTCTCATGTTTTGAAAAAAAAAATTAGTGTCAGCAAATGTGACAAGTTGGAATTCTAGGACAATGATTACTACTATTTATAAATATATTCAGACTGATTCCAATGACAATGGGCCATGGTTTAAACCGCCTGTCTATCTGTTTGCCCTGCGCTCACTTGTACATGACGACGCTGAATGTAAATAGGGAGGGAACTCCGGTGAGTACAAGCACGGTACACGCACAGTACAAAGTGTATGTATACATTGCTGTATGAGCATGAAATTTTCGAGAGACAACTGCTGTTTTTTTTTTTACATAAGCAGGTTTCGTGTGTGGACAATAAGACAAGCTAAACTCCCGGGACTGTGCAGTAGACTGAATTGTTTCTTCTGTCATCTGATGCACAATTCCAGATAATAATTATCTTTCCCGGTTTATTTTTCAAGAGATTTTTGAAATTTTTTTCTTTGTTATAGTTCCGGTATGATTACGCCATCGAATTCAAACCTAACATATAGTGTATATGCATATATAGAGAGATCATTGCATCTACCAATTTTGAAGCAATTCCCGCAAACTCCGCAACAGACATTAACTTCATAGTTTTAAGTTTTTTTCAACCTGCCGCCAGAGGGCTCTCGAGTGTACCATGACGTCACTGGTACATAATTTGAAGAACACTATTTGACCTTAGACTAACACCGTTAAATGTAAGTTGATATCTAGCTATTACCAAGGCACTTCCGGTTTTGACCAGTTTCAACCGGAAGCAAGGGTCACGGACTTTACATACACGAGAACCCCTGCATTGATTACACCATTTGCCGCAATGAGCAAGTTGCAGGAGGTCACGGTTGATTTTATATGGATTTTTAAAAGATTGCACACATAAAATATAGAACTTCAACTGTTTGTAGTCTGATTCCAGATGACGTCATGAGGGCGTAATGATTCTATTCACGTCCTCGGGAGATTAATTTTCAGCCGTTTGAAGAGAATCGGGATTGTGTAAGGGCCAAATAGGATTTGAAGAGGAAGAAGAAAAATAAATGAAAAAAAATACACGAAAACAAGAGCTGTTTGGGCTGTTCCTCAAAACAGCTACAGAAAAAAATAACAAAACAATGCCTTTTTCGCAAAATGTCCAAAAGCAAAAGTATAAAAACAAACAAAACATAAAAAAAGTCTTCTTCGCAAAATGTAAAAAAGACAAAAATCGACTACTGTAACACAGAGTAAGACACCAATAACTTGAAAAGCGGTGACAAAAAGTGGGAAAAGGTAACTCCACCTAACACCACGATGTCCTTTAATATCATTTATAATATGCAAAACACTATTTTACAACATAACAGTAGTTGAAGAAATCTGAAGAGAGTTGAAGACATGCTGATTTGACGTTAAATTTAAGTCAATTTCTTGCGCATTATTTTGTATGGGGCTATTTCAAGATTGAAAGTTGATGGACAAGTTAAAGGGTCTAATTGGAGCCTTAGTTCTTGGTCCAGGACGACCGATTTACTCTCTCCGATCCTGATAGTGGTATAATCACATGGCAAAACAGAATAATGGAAAAAAGACGTCAGGGTAGGGACCTGACAGTCGGAGAAGTTCCTCAAAACCCGCTTACCTGCATGACTCCGCTGCCGGTACCACCCTCTGTGTAAGGCAGCATCTCTTTCGGCAGCCCCATCATACGACCCAGCCAGTCCACCATCAGGGTCTCCAGCTCAGTCATGGCCGGACTAGCAGCCTGTAAGCGGCGTTGTAGAGAGAACAAAGCACACTCTTCATTCAGTCATCAGCACGCTCCTAGAGATAATCGAAGTCCGGCGAGGGACCGTGACGACGGTGCACGGTCGGGATCGTGTGAGGAATATGGTAGGGAGGGACCGGGCTTATAACCGAGACATGACGCGGTTGGAATTTTGTTCTGAACAGCTGGGGGAAAAAAGGGCCAGTTCGTCCATGGTTCTGCACAGCGCTGGATAAGTTAGAAGTGCTGGTTATGGTGAGACCTATATGTTGGATAAGTTGAGGCCCAGCATTCGAAATGCTGGTTTGGCGAGCAATGTATCAAGTGAGTTAAGACCTGGAATGTGCAGTATTTTGATTGAGTTGGAGCCGCGCCGGGGAACTGTCAGTTTGGTGAGTGCACCATTTGATGAGTTTGAACCGTGGAAGTGCTCACGGTGCCGGCCGTGTTAGCATTCTGTCGAGTGATTTTGAACCTCAGGTTCGGCTTGTGCGGTGTCAATCAGTTGCACGGAAACAGTTCATGAAAACGGCAACGTACCGGTTGGGGACAGCGCAGCGTTGAATGAGTTGGAACCGGGGAAGTGTCGATTTGATTAAATGATGTGCGATTAGCAGCAGTTAAAGGAAACCAACGATAGTTCTTTCTTGACGCTTGTGTCTAATTTGGGTAAAATGACACTTCTTTCGGGAGAGTCATTAACGATAACTAAAGGTGGGAAAATGTACTTCTTAATTTAAGCTGAAATTTCATTTTAAAAATTATTTTGTACCAGATTTGGACGGTTTGTACAATCTTCTGGTACTTCTTTATAGACACCACAGATCTGACTTCATTTTCCTTATAACAAATTCAAGGGTGATCATTTTGATACACCTTCCTCCTTTCATTGGTTGGAAAACGGACTTAAGGGTGGCTTAGAACGACACCGCAATAGGTAGAAAGAGGGATTTATCGGAGATCGACTCACCCACGAGAACCCGATGCAGCCTAGGCCGTCCGACAGCATGTCAGCTAGGATCGATGGGTAGGAGTTACCGGCAGGGAAGTAGGCGTGAAAGCCCGGGTGCTGCCAGTGGGTCATCTGGTGGAAACAGGGAAAATATGAAATCTGGAACTACGAGATTTTGTATTTTGAAGTGGTTGAAGAGAGAGTCGTTTGATTTCCTACTGGGGGAGCAGAGAGAATAGATACAAACCTTTGCTTTTCGCTACACTAGTACTGTACAAAGTGAGTTAATGGAAGGTTGGCACGGGGACGGGGTAGGGCATATTTCCCTATATCTTTCGAAGCTGGTATCTCGTTTCCGGATATTTTCTAATATCTTCATTAATTCATGATGACTTTCGCTCTCTCGTTTTCCGTGTCAAATAGGTTAAACCGAGCGTTCGCGGGTATTTACAGCCTGCAGGAAACCTCAGTGTCACCATATTTCCGAAGAGGGTTCAATGTGTCCTTAAATAAAGCCTCCAACATTGACAGGAGAACCTGTTCATGCTGGTCTAACGATTGGCCCAAAGATTGAAAGGTGAAGTACACAAGCATCGACCCTTGAAAGGGCAGCGATTTTTCTGCCACTGGCATAAGACATTGGCTGTCGCACCAGCAGTCTTTCGAAACTTGACATGCATGTGAATAGTTTAACGCATCCAGGAAGTTTCAATAATCTCCGGGTTGAAAGTTTTCTTTTTAGCGAAACATATTATAACAATTAACAAGTTTGGCGGGCTAACTCACCCCCGGTAGTATGGTATCCTCCACGTCGCTCATGATGCTCTCCCACGATTCTGGCTTCCACGGGGCTTCCCTGGGCAGGAGCCGGTGCAGGTATCCCGGGGACACGGCAGGCATCACCCGGTACTCTTTGATGTCACGCAGGTACTTGGTGATGAAGTCCGCCATCTCGGCGGCGCGCCGGCAGAACGTCTCACCATCCATGCTGAGCCTATTATAGGGAAGAGAATGCAGGGATGTGGCCGTGAGTGAACGTGGTGCGGTGTTCGAACTGCGGCAGTGATGCTGCCTTGGCGGGGGAGCTTTTCTGGAGCGTCTGGCAGGAGACGAGACGAAGTCGAGATGAACTGGAAGTCAAGTCTGTTTCGGGTCAATAGGGATCATCAGACTTGCTTCTGGTCTCCTTATAAGACGGCCGAGAATAACGTCCACTCCCCACGGTCGGTGTGCGAATCAGTCGCTAAGGACACAATACCCGACCCGCAGCTGGATCCCAACTGCTCAAGAGCCAGTCAGGAGTATAGCCATTGCCACTTGGCCACACTCTTCACTTGGAGGCAAACTCTCTCGAGCTTGTGCTCTAACGCTGTCGGCAAGGAGAGTTTACGAGAGAGAGAAAAAAACACTGGGAAATCTCTTCTCATTCATTGAGGATGGGAGTTCTAAACCGAACTCCAATCACTGTGCTACTGACAATCCATTGCTCAAAGCATGATGAAATTGACCTATTCAAATGTATGAAGTTCCAGTATCTTGGAATATATTTTGAACGTTACTTGCGCCTCTACAATGCAAATTATTATAACCACTTTTTTAAAACAAAAATAAAACAAAAATAAAAGTATTGTTTCAGGTCATCTTGCATCAAACGCCTCTGAATAGAAAATGAAACCCAGGAATTGCTTGAAGCAGTAAAACTTACTGTTAGTTCATAGCAATAGTTTCCAATTTATTTCGAAGTCCGTGAGGAACACTCACTCAACCGGCAATCAAGTATGAGTGCACTCCTCTCTGTTCCAGAGTCGGTGACACTAATGGAGCACCAACCCAACTGTCTGCTTTTAATACGTCACCCCAGTGATTTCTGCCATAACTGCTTCTTTCGCTCGTTAATCCCGGTACAGGCTTTAGGTGTGCAAATGACTAATTGCCTTCACTCAAACTCCTAATGCTTGATTCAGTCTCTGTCCAATGCTGTCGACCTATAAAACTAATATTGAAATATGACACGTTGCAGTCTCGTGAACTGAGCATTAGGCAAATTACGACAGCCTCTCTTATTGGCCAAAGTTGCTGGGGATACAACCATGTCCCCTCTAAAGATTGTGTAGCGCCGCGTAGCGGCGCTACACAAATAGCAGTGCTACACAATTTTTGGTCCCCTCGACCAAGAGCCCTTACGGTGGCCTCGTGATAGCATACTTTAGTAAATTACGGTTGCTCGTCCGCGCCATATCCGCGCGGCGCTGAAACCGTCCGTGCAACACGCGGTGCGCACTAATAGGGCCTGCTCTTTTGACGTCACTGTCGTGTTTTTCCTACAAGTGGCTGCTAAAACTATAGTTAGTCGTTGGTGCACAAGTAAAAAAAAAGAATAATTTGCAAAGTGTGAAAAATCTTAAGTAGTTATCAGAATACCAGAGAATAACCATGCACTACCTAATACTAAATGAAAATACAACCCTATTAAAAATAATTTGTCAAATGTCCACTTTGAACAACTTTGACGTAAAATCGAAAACCAACCAAAAAGTGATATTTTTGGAGGTCCATACAAGCTGTAAGCGAAATGAGAATGGTTTATTATTCATATGGGTTAAGCCCCAAAGTGTCCACATCTTGGGCGCAAAAGAGAGCCTTTACAAAACTTGCTTTTCTCCAACTGACCACTGCATGTCTGCAGGATAAAATCGGAAGGTGAAGAAGGAGGTGGTTCTTACTTAAAATGATGTGAAATGTGCTTCAAGATTCATAAATACACCTGAATTCTTCTAGTCATGTATTAAAAAACCCATGCATTTTGGAACTCTTTATTAAAATTTTTCTTTAAATTGGCAAGTGTAGAGGTTCTGAAAGAGCTTTTGTTCTGCTGGGATACACGAGTGGAAATTTCGCGCTATATAGATCCCTCCGCAACAAAAGCAGTTACCAGAAAGATGGCTGCTGTGCAGAACCTCTATAGGAAAATTGAAGTGGATTTCACTTTAGCAAGACGGAGTAGGCCTCTGCGCGCACATCCAGGCATTGTAGTTTAATGGAGCACTTTTGCTTAGGAAAAAAGGGGGGGGGCAGTATGTCATGCAGTGGCAATGAATATTATTTTCTTGCCAATGCATGATAGGCGAAAAAGCAAAACGTTCTCCGGGGTAAAGGCCGACGAAAATACAGCTGTTAAAAGGGTCATAACACCGAAAGACAATAGGACGCCCGAGGGTTTAATGTGAATTAAGACCCAGTTAAGACCACTTAATGGCTGACGTCGAAACAGGAAGGAATTGGACGATTGACCATATGTTACTCATGGGCGTTTATAGGATTACTTTAATTATCCATGAGTGGAAGGGTGACTGGAGAGTAGTGCGGTGAGTAGGCAGTTTCCGAGCTAGAAAGTTGTCAGGAACCAGCAAGTAATATAATGGCAAACATAATGGCAATTCGACTGGTAAGGAAAAAAGTCTATCCAGCGACGCGGATCCTGTGGTAAAGGGCAAAGGGGACATGCCCCCTCCCCTTGGAGGCATAGGCCTATCATGTATAAAAAGGAAAGTGCGATTTCGAGGGATTACTTGAAAAGATCGAAAGAGGCCAAAAATATGGACCCACCCCTCGACAGACATCAAAAGGTTGCACAAAGAAACCCCCCTAATATCTGCCCCCCTCCGAAAACGTTTGACCCGCCCCCAAGGTGTGATTTAAGATCCGCCTTCAAGACGCTCTACTGCGCTCAAGCCCTGAACAACACTTCAGTTGGAGTTGGGATGGACCTGGTCGTAATCCACTCGTCAGAAACCTGAATCAAGTGTAACTGCGACACTCGTCAGTGCTATATCTTAGTTTTCTTTTTTTTTTAATTCTTCATTTGATTTCTACTTTCTGGATTGACTCCTGGCCATTTTCATTCTCTCCACGAACCTGTTCCCATTGATCACTACACGCGTCTGCTGTAGAAGTTTGGTAAGAGTGACCAATGATTTGTGATTGTATGAAATGTAGTCGCTTGATAATCAATCATCATGTATAGCTTTAATTCAGTAATTCAAAACTTCTCGGTAGAGACTTCGAAATTCCTTGCCCATTTCTTCACAATTTCGTCAGAACATGCCCCCCATGCCCAGGAACTCCACAAGAGAATGCAGTGAATATTAACGTATTAAATGAAGGTGAAACAAGACTCGACACCGACAAGGCACAATCTCCCCTAAAGCTCTTTATGACCATTGTAAGGTATTACGCCTTGTAGCACCTACCTGCATGTGACCCAGCAACATAAACGTAAGGTACTTCTGTCGGAAGTTTAAGTGTGGTCGCGTGGTCAGTTATTTCTCGGAGTCAACCGCCCGCACCTCTAACGGAAGCAATTACCACGTGAAGTATCACTTAACAGGTTTACCCTTTTCTCCATTGGAAACGCACATGAATATCTCAACGATAACATTGCGGCTCTCTAATATTTGGGTAGCCTTGGGAAAACTCACTACAAGTATGATGAATCGGTAGCCTACTTTTACTGGCGTGTGTTTTTCCGAAAGGCATTGCCGAAAGCATTCGATTAAAAAGCACCAGACCGAATTATACTGTCTGTTATAGGCCACTATTCGGAAAACAAAATTGTACCGCTTTTGCAATCAACTTCAAGCTATAGGTAATGCAGACATTATCAGAGGTAAACGCTGGTTGAAAAAGTGCAAGTCTTTTTTTTTTTTTTTTGAAGAATGCAGACGATGAATACAGAGACTATTCTTCAGACTATTTTTTTAACAAAACCCTTGTATGAAGAACTGGGGATAGATCAATCTGCATAACGAAAACTATAGAAATATGGACCGGGAGGGGGTAAATGTAATTTTATTAAGAGAATAGTTGAAGTGTTTTAACCAGTTCAAAACCCACACTTGCTAATCTTCGTTGAGCTTTGAACTTTCCACTTTCACCATGCTAGCAGCGAGATGTTAAAGACAAAGCTTGTTAAAATGCGGAGGTGTTGTCAACAGGACTGTTACCTGGTACTTTTGTGAAATGTTGATAAATTTGCCGTAAAATGATGCTCCACTTTGCAGCAGACTCGAGGCCTCAGTATTCAAAATGGCGATGGACCTCGTGAGTGCATTTCAGGACGGCTGTCACTGAGAGGATCAGGATTGTTCTTCCGAAAGTCATCGAATTACCACAACAAGCGCAGAAATTGAAAGGTGGTGGAACGAGACTTAATTTGAAGTGCGAGCCAAACCCATCGGGTTGTTGAGAATTTCTTCTGGGTTTTACATTCAGTGAGAATTGTTGTTACTGCAGTTTATTTACTGCTCTCTAACCTCAGGACCAGGAAGGAATACAGTCACTCCAACGGTGAAGGTGCTACTAGAGGGATACCAGCACCTACATGATACGTTATTCTAATTCATTGAACGCCCCACGTAGGCCTGCCAGTTAGTAATGCCATTCGATATTTCAAACTGGAGAGGTCATGCGAGAGAAAAGCCGGAATATGGCCGCGATCATGACAGGGCAGATCTCGTTTGCTCGTATAAAGCTATTCCCGAACGACCTGACTTCATTCGCAGGTGCCTCATTTTGGGCATGTGGCTTTGGAAAACCACGCTGGTTTGTTGAGGGCGCTATGCTACTCAAACAGTAATTGAAACAACATGGCTACAACTCAAACGACAGACATTGCGCACTTACGAATTTATTTATCTTCACGAGCACGTGTAGGCAAAAAAGGTGCACGGATCAAGCGTTTTTGGCCAAAATGCTCTTGTATTGACTGTGAGCTAACACTTGAGAGAAGTGGATTTTTTTTCAGTTATTTTATGAGCCGTAATAAGATTCTAAAATACAGCTGTTGATCGATCTCTCCGAGCAGATAGAGTTGTTTACAAAAATCAATAGTTGCCTAAAGCCTGGACCTCTCCTTCGCTACGGGCGACTCTTTTCAAGAGAACCATTGTTTGCTGAAGAAAAGGCTACCTCTGCATACTGGAATAACTTAGCAAAGACACCAACCTTCATGAATAATGGACGAGTATAGCAGGACAGGCTATGCAGCAGACCACGGCACTGTTAAAACGACGAAGTTGCGGTTTTTCCTAAACGGTAAGTTTCACTAGTTTTCATTAATATATTTTTTCGTGTACAACAACCTGCAGCTGTTTCGATTATGAAATAAGGTGGTAAGTGGCTTTAGAGCGCTTTACAAAGGAGCTAATGTCCGGGATGAAGGGGGGAAAAGCTAAGTTCACTGAAGGCGATAGTGGTGATGTGTACCTTGCTTTGGTTGAAAAAGATAATCGTTGTTTGTATACATCAGCGAAGTCTGAGTAAAAGTGGACCATCATTATGGAATTATTTTTGTTTAGAACTATTTCGTGCGATCTTGACCTCTTGTTAGACGTTAAAGAAATGGCTTGCGGGAGAGAGTACCCGCTTTTAGAGAGTAGCAAAACTCTGCTAAAAAAATTCCAGAAATTTCACGGCACTGCTGCTTTGATGAAATCGGTCTCCAGCCTCCGCATACAGTAACCCGTGACTAAACAATGCCCTGAACGCACCTTGATCGAAGTGTTTCATGTGGCAAATTTTTCATGCGCGTACATTTTTTTTTCAGGCGCACAGACTACGATGGCTACCCAACACCATCCCAATACCTCCCCGGTCCCTCAGTCCATCGCTCTTCTCCTTCTCTGCTCTGTCTTTGCTCCGTCCCACGGCCGACTCTTATGCGACGAGAGGGCTGCCTCGGTGGCCGTCGAGTTCTTCGGCACGCCGGACCTCAGCATGGCCATCACCGTGGACGACGGCGAGGATGTAGCCAACGAAACGGTGTCGCATTGCGCTCGTCGGTGCCGACGTAACGTGGAGTGCCGGTCGTTTACTGTAAGATGGGGACTATCTCGTAATTGTTGTCAGCTTTACAGATAGCTATAATTAAAAGGGTGCAGTACTGGAAACACCGCGGTTTTTTTGACAGAAAACGAAATGTAATTGAGAAGCACGTGAGGCACCATAGCTTACAATCAGGAAAGGAACTTCTTAACATACTTTATGAAAATAGCCCCAGGGGTTCGGATCGGGACTGACAGACTTTATGCGACCTTTCATTCCTTCCAGTACACTAAGGAGACGTGCTCTCTTCATCCGTACGATAGCAGCACCGGCCCGGAGTTCAAGCACTCAGCAACGGGCATGTTGTACTACGAGAGCTTGGACAAAGACATCAACAGAATTGTAAGTACAATACGTCCATCATAGTGTTCCAGACTACTGGAGTGTTTCGTCCCACTTGTGCCTCTGTGATAGTCGATAAAGTTCGTGGAGCTATTGACAGTGAATGGAATTATTTGTCCTGATTAATTCAGGAACCTCTGGCTTCTTTGCAGCACAGAAATGAAGAGTTTAAAAACAATAGCTTGCTGCCCCAAAACAGAGAAACAAGCGGGACACATAATTTTTGTCACTGCATGTAGATACTTTGTAAACTATACTCTACAAACTCTGTGATAAAAATGCCCCTCTAATCTAAAACTCTCCCAAAGAATGACAGTATGAAGGCAAACAACAGGCGAAATTACTGCAGCTTTTAACACGTAGTCCTACCTGTTGTATGCGATCATTACCAGTCAATAAAGTTGAATGAAGATAAACTGTTTTGGACAAAATACTAAAAATGAACTTGAAATAAACGATTGCTCCAGGAATATTTCAGCGGCTGCTTGACAGATTACAAGAACGGTTGCCAAAATGGCGGCTCGTGTAAATCAGACTGCTCCAAACAAGGTTACTACTGCGCATGCCCCGAGAACTTCCGTGGGGACGCCTGCCAGTTCGGTAAGTTTGATCTGTTGCACATTTTTAGAACTTTTAGTTTGTGAAGCGCAACCGTTCTCAACTGATTAGTGATTTCTGTGACATTCATGGCTGTTAAAAGCAAAAAAAACACCCCCTCAACTACCCGATTATAACTGGCTAGAAGTGTGCTCCTCTGGCAAATTTTTCCTCTCCAAATTATTCATTGATGCTGACATTTTTGTCCGTTTCCCTTGATAGCTAGAGAAGACGAACCAGTTCTTGTGCAAACCATAGAGGGCGCCCCATCACGCGGATGTGCCGGCTTCAGCTTCAGTAACGAACATTTTCTCATCATCGGCGGATAGTAAGTACCTTTATTTACAAAAACCTATTACAGAAATTGTTACCGTCAAGTAGAAACAATTCCAGTTTTTTATGCATGTACAGGGAGCTGCCTCGTGCTTACGTGGTAATTTTTGGACTGTTGGAAATGATACAGGCACCATGCAAACACATTGTTGCAAAAGACGCAGGGGGAATGTTGCGCGTGTTAAGTAAGATGGAACTCCTGAGGACGACCAGAGCATCCTGGTTGAAACGTTGAGTTTACACCAAGCTCTTCATGGAACCACCACTCTTACAGAAGAGACCGATTTCACAATGGTATACCCGCAAACCTTTTCATAGTCTAGTTGCGCGTTTTCTGACCTCAGTGTTGTTATGACAGCAATCCGCTCCGAGCAGGAACAAAAGAGGGCGTGTTTTGAAATGAAATAGACCGTGTTCGCGGCGTCCCCAATTCCAGTCGTATTCCTGAATGTGCAGTATAAATTTGAAACCCGTAATGGGATGGTACCAGGTGATTTTGGGGGTTGGAATAAACTTGTAGAATACAGTCGGGTTCTTTGAATTTAACGTTTTCAAATAAATACACTACGTTGGGGAATACGACTGAAATTGGGGACGCCGCGAATATGGTCTATTGGCAGTCCTCTTGTACTCACGCACCGTATAGGTGCGCAAGTTTATGGGCGTTTGATGCGGAACACGTTGAGTACGCGCATCGATTTAATCTAGAATTTGTGGTTGGAAAACTTAGTGCCATCTCTCTTTCTTTAGCCGGCGAGGATGTACTTCAGCTCAGGGCGGATAATGTACACGAGGTCGTGTATCCATGCTCCTTACGTTGCCCCATTCCCCTACTATTGAATCACAGTTAGGTCGGGTCTCCAAGCAGCCTGCGGCGTCTTCCTCACAGTCTTTTCGTTTGACACACAGCAAGAGCGATGACGTCAATGGCACCGATATCGAGGCCACCTCCCGCGTGTTCAAGTTTAACGAGACGACCGGCCAATATGAGTACGACCACTACCTGGAAGGGCTGGGCGTGACCCAGCGCATCACGCCAATGGCTGTTGGGGACCAGCAGCTCCTCTTCGCCGCTAACAACAGAGAGTTTGATGACACACTGACGACAGACTCGGTTGTGTATGCTTACGTCAACGGTGAGTTCATCCGATGATTGAATGAAAGTCTGGGGGGGCTTTCTACGTAGACGAGGGGAACAATGTTGAAACCTCGCTGGTTTTTTTTTTGTGCTGCGCTGTAAGAAGCAGTACACTCAAGACAGCATCAGCAAGCTGAGGCAGTTTATTGTCTCTGACTGTTTCGTATAACTATTTGCATTAGAGGCACCAATATTTACTGAGGTAAAATACAAGTTATTTGCTCCTTTTCAAATTTTAACGAAATGGAGATTTGCACACGCAGTCCGTCTTGGCCACTTTTGGGGTTGAGTTAATCGTAAGTACTTATACAAGTACACCCCAAGTCAGTGACTATAGTCAAGGGGAGTACATCACCGTGCACCCCCCAAATGCTCTTCATTGATTTAAGGTTGTGATCCACAGCCCCGTGAACTTGTGATACACTTGGTGAGACCGAAATAAACTCCATTCGGTTTATGCCGAAATATCGAACCGGTCTATCCCCAAATAGGCACTTTCCAAGCCCATCAAACAGTGACTACTGAGGGGGCCTGGGGAGGCGCATTTCTTACGGCAACTACCGGGCAACGCTACATGTTCATCTCGAACTCCCAGAGCGGCTCTTACGATGTGGACTCCCCCATCTACAAGTGGTACAGCCAGTACAACCAGTTTTACTTCGTTCAGAATGTGGCGACGCTGGGGGCCGGGACGCCCGTTCTATTCGACGTCGCGGGGGTGGTCTACTTGGTTGTACCATTTGAGTATGGAGACAGCGCAGGACACAGTGCTCAGGCTGAGCTCTGGAAACGATCCGACGCGAGCTGTGAGTGCTGAGTATAACAGGTTGTTGGGAAATCAAGATCGTGCCAACATTTTTAAAGTTCTGTTTCAACAACAGTACATCCATGTATTGGTTTCATTAAGTTTAGACCAACTTGCAGTGTGGCCTTAATTTTAATGAACTAATGAAAATTCGCCTAGATTGACTTCATCATTTCCCTGTGATATTATTTTTGGGGACCTGGATCCTACTGGATAGGTTACTACACGTGATATATTACTGCGCCCAAATAGTTCAGAATTTTAAACGGTAACTGCTTTCCATTGAGAAAGATTTATGCAAGTCAGTGCGCCTCACATTTCCCCTTATAATATCTTTCTCACCCCAGTCATATACATGGGCTGCTTCCTCGACGACAACGTCCGTGCAATGGAGGTCCAGTTCTCCTCAGACAACCTGGACATCGAGACCTGCGTGACCTACTGCCGGCTGCGCGGCTACCCGTACGCCGGCCTGCAGGACCGGACCAAGTGCTTCTGCGGCGACGACGGTTACGACGTTTACGGAGCACGCAGCGACGGCGAGTGCAGCCAGACATGCGCGGGCAACAGCGGCCAGTACTGCGGCGCTTCCTACCGGAACTCCGTGTATCTCACCGGTGGGTGGTCCACGTCCCATTGCTTCGTGCATTGAAATCCCACGCTCCAATGTCTCCTGGGTCCTAATCAGTGGCAGCTAAAGTGGGAAGGGTGGGGCAACGGGGGGGGGGCGCTGCCCCCAATGTTTTTGACTTGGAGGTGATGCCCCCCATCCCATTTGGCAGGTCGTTTAGTGGCCGATACATGCATGGCCTCACAAATAAGCCCTGCTCCTACTTAGCAAAACGTTCCAAATTGGCAAGCCATCCGGATCCAAATTTGCACAACCACTTCGAGATAAAAAGATACTTTCTGTGTCAAAATGGCTTACCCATTTTTTCATTCATTAAACATACGACATAGGGCCTACTCGTGTGTACCAGCGAGACCCATAAGAATGTTAAGCTAGGAATGTTAAAATTCTGGAGAAACCCTGCTCTTAAAACGCAACTAATGAGTCTGACTACGCCTAATAAATATGCTCCCACTATGTAGTTACTTAGATTACTTTTCTAATGTTGACTGGGCTTCTGTGTTTGGTTCCAGAGCTAAAGCCACACTAACGTTGCTGCTGAGCACCGTGTGTCCTTGAGCAAGACATTGTATCGAAGTTTCACATCAGAATTCACAAGGATGTCACTGGCGTTCACTTTTCAGTAATCTTCGGCTGACGATTCAATTCAGCAATTTTTCACTGTTTGGACGCGTCCTTTCTGTTGGCCATTATGTGACCGAATGCGTGTGGTTTTATGGCAACCTTGTACCGTAACACACTCAAATTGCAAAGGACTAAAATGAGTTTGATTTAAAAAAAATTATGAAGGGGAAACGCTTGGAGTTTAACTGTACTGAATGTTCTATTAATTATGCAAATCTTAATTCACTGTTTAATGTAAGAACAACCGCTCTGACAGTCAACAGTTATTTTGAACAAATTATACCGTTTCCAAACGCAGAGCCGTCTTGGTCGAAGATCCAGACGATCCCGGATGCCACGTCCACCATCGCCGCCGCTCACTTCCACCACCAGGGGGCGGACTACGTTGTGCTGGCCCAGTACACGGACGGCTCCAGCTGCGACCGGGACCTGGTGCTGTATGTGTGGAACGGTGAGACGGAAGAGCTGGAGACGCACCAAAGAATCCCCAACGACCAGTGCGTGATGGATTTGGAATTATTCAAGGTATTGACCTCATAAAGAGTGTCGCAAACGATTAACAATTTTGAAATCTGTCTTACGTTCAGGCTGCTTCGGAGCGGCGTTTCACTTTGGGGTTTAATTGAGTCTTAATCCTTGCAAAAAGTCCAAGTATTAAAATTCCCATGTTAATAATTATTAGAACATATATAGGTATGTAAACGACTTTTCTGCTCCAAGCCGAAGGATTTTGTTTATTCTAAATTGTTTAAATTATTATTTAAATAAAGTTGTTTTAGTAATTCTACCCCTTATCTCAGTAGGGCCATGCATTACACAGGATCAATAATCGTGCACATTCTTCAGAGCCCATGAACTGAGGCATCGCTAATGTGCCTGCGTACGACACAGACTTTGCATAATTTGATCGCGTTGTTCGTACATCATTTTGCTTACGATTAACTCCCTTTCTGAGATATTTAAAGCCAGTCTTACGTAAAGATGCAATGAGGGGAACAAACACGAACCGCGAGATTGAGGGCGGTATTCAATTCCTCTAAGCTGCAAAGCAGAAAACTCACGCTAACAAAGTACAGACCGAAAGTCAGCTTAGAACCAATTACAAGCAAGGGGACATAATTTATGCACATATTCCCCTGGTAACCTGTTATTATTGAGCAACACAGTCAACTGTGCTTTAATATCTGTATACTACGGCAGTTACAATTGCCCCCCAGGCAAATCCTTACGCTCTCAACCACGAGCCTCATCCCTTCTCTCGTGCACAGGCCAACGGTCGCGTCTTCCTGATCGCGGGCGCCGACAGGACCCAGTACTCCGTCTCGGGCGAGAGCGACTACTCCGTCCGCAACATCGTCTACATCTTGGAGGGCAGCATGTTCGTGCCTTACTGGTCCCTGGACGGTCGCGAGACGCACGACTGGAGCGTCTTTCAGCGGGACGGGGAGATCTTCCTGGCCCAGGCCAACTACCGAAGCCCCGGGGACGGCACCAAGAATGACGCTGTCTTCAATATCTACCAGTGGTATTAATCATCATCGACTGGAGCCCATTATGGACTCATGTAGGAATCAATAGTCAGGTCACAAACGTCATACTGTCTGATTAACGTCATTATAGTCAAGTACATGTACTTAGAACATCGCTCATGTTACGATACATACTCCCATGTCGCAATCGACTTGGAAATGTCCTGTGCATTATTATAGGAGCAATATTTGACACAAAACTTTTACATATCATTCAAGTTTAATTATGATTTTTTATGAAATGCAATTTTTTTTACATATATTTCATTTAAATTATCTAGATCTTTTCTGACTTCAGTAATGATGGTGTGCCGTTTTCAATCAAGATTTGTTTAATTTAACAACGTTTTATATGTACATTTTGTAGTCAAATTAATACTCTATGGTAGCATTTAAGAAAAAAACTTATAAACAAAGCGATTCTTTCTGCCGATGTTTTTTATTTAAAGAGTGAGAATGAAATATTTATGTACACATTTAAAAAAAAAATTTTTTTAAACAATTTTGGTGACAGGAGTTTCGAATTCTAAAGCAGAATGTGATCACTGTCTATACTCGTTGTGTGTTGCATATATAAACCATATTAGTGATTAATATTTGCTCGACTATTAATCATTATCACGAATTCGCCCCCTCACTAACGTAATGTCTGATGTAAATACTTTCCAAAGTTCCAAATGGATAATGCTTTTCAATCGATGTTGTCAAAAGGTTGAACTATCGGTCGATTGGTGACGTCTCTTGCGCCAGCGCGTTGGTGTCCAAAAGAGCAAAAGGGTTCAGTTGAGGTACGTTCAAACGTCACCACTTAACTCTCGGTCTGTACACCGCAAAATGCAAGGATACTGGCCGCAAACGTGGGCATAGGCTGGTCCCGAGAAGTCGACCAGATTACTCAAAACATCGCCAACCAACTTGCATTCGATCAAAGTTGGTCAACTACGGTCAACCGTTAACCAATTTGTTGAGGCGCTCTGGTCTTGTTTCCGATAGTTTGTGCTAACCTACCTGTGACATTCTCAACGAAAACTACGGAACGCTAAATCAGCTCTTAGATCTGTCACTTTTGCCCATCCACCCTGGGATTAACGTGAATGTTTCAGGGGCTAAGCTAGAAAAAAGTTATGAAAATATCATTACCAAACCGTATACCTGGAAGATCAAAGGACAACCCACATGGAAGCAAATGTCAAGAAGTATAAAATATTACTGAAAGTCTGTGAACAACTCGCTAACTTATTAATTCCTACCGTAACCTCTTTCATCAGAAAGCAGTTAGAGTAGCAGCTATTTAGCGCCCTCTAGACTGTCAAGTGAAAAACTGTGAGCACTTTCATCAATCTATTGACACCGTTGGCTTGGACGAATTCCTAATGGGGTGGGGACATCTTGAAAGTTCCGAGTCTCCTGCATGTCTCAACTCAGCCCAGTTAGCGTCGCCGACCGGTTAGCCCGCCGGTGCTTCTCCCGTTGGTGCTTGTACCACGACAGAGTCCAGCGCTTGTTGGGAAAGGCCCGGGCTCTCGGCCAGCTCATGGGCCGCCGCTCCAGTCCCCGGAGTCTAAGCCCGGGCCGGCTGAGCTTCTTGGCCCCGAACACTGCGGAGAGGAATGTGTAGGAACAGTTCATGACGCCTTTAACCATAAAAATCCTTCGCTAAGCTAGAGGAAATTTCAGTTATTATTGAAAGCAGATGGCTTGTTGAATCATTAGTTGCAGAGTTTTTTTTTTCGAATCTCGGCCTTTGTCTTCGTGTCAGGCCTTGTATTTTCGGCATCGACACCAAATACAGGCCTGCTGAACTCGAACTATCTTGAAATTTCTGTCCCTGAGCTCATTGCTTCTTCAGGAAAAGCCTGAATTTATGGGGTCACAAAAATTCTGGGGTGGAGGGGAATATGGCGAAACAGGAAACGCATGCAGACTAAGGCTTTATTTGGGTGAAAACGGGTAGCCTGATATTGATTTGTATGCAGATTTTCAGCGACTGATTAACACAAGCTCAGATTTCCCGCGTGGCAGCACTGGAACCCAACAAGACCCTAGCTGCCTACCTTTCCCCCCGAGCCCGTGCCCGAAGTTCTGAGACAAGTGGACCACCACGACAACGAGGAAGACGCGTACCAGGATGCCGAGGATCCCGCACACCAGGATGCAGGACGGCAGCACCTTCTGCGAGTGTTCGGTCCAGGTCTTCCACAGGAAGGAAACCTGCGACAAAGCAGACATTAAGTCTGCGCGGCATGATTTTTACTTTATTTTGTACAATCTATAATATGAATACTGAAATGTTCAACAGTTTATGTGACCTGCTCTGCAAAAAAAGGTAATAAGATACACAATAACAAAACATGTTATGAGCTGTTCTATTTGGAGAGGGCAAAATCTCTTCAAAAACGTGATTTTGTTTTTTCCTTTCATAGCTTCTATAATGTTTTCAGAATGTGTGACCACAAACATGGATACAGATGAATAAAGATGAAAAATTGATCATTCAGTAGGAAATCCTGCATAGCATTGTGTTTCCAAGTGCTACACTTTCTGAGCTTTTTCTCAAAAAGTGTTTTTTATTAAATCCGAAAAATGTGGATATGCAAATATCTGTATATCTCCAGAACGCACCGCACTCCAGGGATCATTTATATATCAAAATATAGCTTTTGATGTACCCAATCCAGCCATATCAAAAACTCCTAACCTGAATCTGGCGACTTATTACCCATATTTCTAGAGCCAATGACATATACAAAACAAACCAAAACTATCCACAAACTTTGTGTTTGGTTTGTCTTTCTGGAGTCTGTATACGGGCTGACAAGCATGGATCCAAAGGGGTACAAGTACTACCCCCAGGAAACTTCACGGATCCAACCTTGGGTGTTGAATTTCAAACAAGTCATGGAGAGATAACAATTTTTTTTCTTCCAGAGCAATGATTACTACCGAAACCTCAAAGTATAGTAACACATACTCAGCAACTAGTGATTTCTGAACATAATGCGATGTTTAGAAAAAAAAGAGTTTTAAAAGAAATGATTTTCTCCGGTTTAAATCAACTGTATACTTCAGGTAGCAGTTTGTTCATTATACACTTACATCAACAAACTTGTAGGTCGTGTAAACAGGAAGAACCCAGCACGTCAGTAGGAACAAACCCACTAAGAGTTTATTCTCGTATCTTATCTGAGGGAAAGAGAAAATTAATGTCAGCACACAGTCACATATCCATCAAATATACCGATGATTCTCTATTGCAGTTGAGCCATGGTAAATCACAGTGGAAGTAAATTCAAATATTTCAAAGTGGTCTCTTCCGAATTCTGATGGCAAAAATTCACGGTATGTCTATAGAAAGAGGCGTTATGATTTTTTCTTTAAATTCTCTACAGATGTCAATTATAGGCTTCCACAGTGTTCCGCCTACTCGCACGACAGCACGCGCGTATTCTTTCATTAGTATGTTAACATGCGCAAAACAGTGACGGTATGTGGCGACAGGTTTTCAACAGGCAAGAAAAGACCGAAGAAAGGAGTCCGGACGGAACATGGTATATCTTAGCAAACTCACGGCCAGGAAACCTAGGATATTCCATATGAGCGTGACTGGCAGTCCGAGCCCCAGCACGATCTTCTCCATGTTGGTGTTCAGGTAGATACCGTCGTCCAGGACGAGAATGACCATGCTGGTCTAAAACAAAAGTTGAGAGAAGCAGGAGTTATGGATGAGTACAAACTTACTGCCAAGTCCGAAACGGGCCCAGAGCTACTGATGCGTTCTTATTATCAGCATGTTCTCGACGGGTCTGCAGCTGACGAAGGCCTGTGGACCTCGCTCGAGTCACTGTATGGGCAATGACTTTTGTTTG